AGCCATTACCCCGCGAAAAACCGAAGGTGAAACCAGTCGTCAAGCGGCTTTGCCAGTTCAACCTTAATGTTCAAAGTGCTTTACGGCAGTGTTGCAGGACGTGGTGGGTTTTCGCCTGGCAAGCGTTCTCCCTATAAAAAGCCACAAATGTCTGTTTAACAACACTGCGATGTGGCGGATGTGGCTCGCCACTAAATAAAGTCACAGCCCACAACTACATACTGGCAAGTCGACTAGATTCACATATCAACCCTTCTTGACACCGTTTCAACTAAACACGACTAAACCCGGAGTATCGTCGTGATACACAACAGTTTTAAACCTTGATCATGCCTCAGTTGGTGCGTCTCTATGAAACTGAGAATAAACTATCTATTTATTTATTTTACCATGGACATACGACCAATTTTCTACTATTACTGTCACAGTTGCCATAAAATGTTTGTACAGTTGTACATATCTGATCATGCCTCCATGGGCGTGCCTCGCATAGTCGAGAATAAAGTGTTTATTTATTTATTTATGGATTGTTTTCCAAGGTGTGGAGAAGTCGGGAACATGCTACATTTCAGACCGGCCGAATTTGAATCTTCTTGGCCTCGACTGTTCCCTTGAATCAGATCTGCAACCGAGTTCGAGCAAGTCCAGACCGATCTGCAAAGTCCGTCGAAGACATGACACGTACCCTGAAGCGAAAATTTGCTTCTGTCTTTCAGGATGGCTTGGGCCACTGTACGAAATTCAAGGCAACACTGAACTTGCAACCAGGTGCTAAACCAGTGTTCAAGGCTAAAATACCGGTACCATATGCAGCCATGGCAACCGTTGAGCAAGAGCTGGATCGACTGGAACGTGCCGGAATAATCACAGCCGTCAACTACTCATCATGGGCCGCACCTATTATCGCAGTGAAGAAAGCAAATGGCGAGGTACGCGTCTGCGCTGACTTTTCAACTGGCCTCAACGCCGCGCTGGACGACCACCAGTACCCCTTACCTGTGCCGGAGGATATCTTTTTCAAAGCTGAATGGTGGTAAGTACTTTGCTAAGCTTGATCTATCCGACGCTTATCTGCAAGTGGATGTTGACGAAGTCTCGAGGGAGTTGTTGATGATCAACACTCATCTTGGGCTATTCCAATACAACCGCTTGCCATTTGGTGTGAAAACGGCGCCAGCCATCTTCCAACAGTTGATGGACACCATGCTAGCGGGCGTTTCTGGAACCGCTGCATATCTGGATGATATCATAGTAATGGGTCAAACACCGGAAGAACTCTTCAACCGCTTGGATGAAGTGCTTGTTTGCATACAGTCGTACGGTTTCCGGATCCGTGAGGCTAAATGCACATTTTTCACGCCGCTCATCAAATACCTCGGGTTTATCCTCGAAAAGGATGGACGTCGACCAGACCCGGAAAACATCGAAGCCATTAGAAAAATGCCTCCACCCACAGAGCTACCGTCCTTGCGTCCCTTTTGTGGGCTCATCAGCCACTACAGCGCAGTTTTGCCTGAGATGCACCGCTTGCGTGCCCCGTTAAACAAGCTACTAGCCAAAGGACAACCTTGGAACTGGACAGCAGCATGTCAGAATGCCTTCGAACGCGTCAAGTCACTGTTGTCTTCAAACTTGCTTTTGACACATTTCGACCCCTCCAAAGAGCTCGTCCTAACCACAGATGCATCAAGCCATGGGATTGGTGCAGTAATTGCACACACGTACACCATTGGATCTCAAAAAGCAATCGCCCATGCCGCCAGAATCCTAACGAAGGCCGAGAAGGACTACAGTCAGATTGAGAAAGAAGCATTGGCCATAGTGTACGCGGTTAAGCAATTCCACAAAATGCTATACGGCCGTCGCTTCAAGCTCCTGACAGATCACAAACCCTTGCTCGCCATCTTTGGCTCGAAAAAGGGCATCCCGGCCTACACAGCCAACAGGCTACAACGTTGGGCTGTTACCTTAATGGTGTATGATTTCGAGATCCAATAACAGTCGACAGTTTCCATTGGCTAAGCAGATGCACTGTCACGCCTAATTGATACCCGTCAGCAAGAACATGAAGACGCAATCATTACCTCGGTGGAGATTAAACCAGACGTCAACTTTCTGATAACTGATGCTCTGCACTGTCTACCAGTTACCGCAGAAGCTGTACGGACCGAAACACTTCGGGACCCAATACTCAAGAAGGTTACTCAGTTTCGCAAAACAAGTTGGCATCGTTCATGTCCATCTGCCGAGTTGCAACAGTATTTTCAGAGGAGACACTCACTCTCTATTGTACACGATTGCACACTATTTTCGGAAAGAGTGGTCATCCCCAAGGCACTTCAGGAGCGCCTTCCTCGACAGATCCACGCTGGGCATCCTGGAATCAACCGGATGAAGGCGCTTGCCCGCAGTTATGTATACTGGACCTTAATGGACAAACAGTTAGCAGAAATAGCCAGACGCTGCCAAAAGTGTGCCGATGTCTTGAAAGCACCACCGAAAGCAGAACTCTGTTCATGGCCAGTAGTTACTAAGCCGTGGTGCCGCATCCATGTCGACTTTGCAGGGCCGATCAACGGGAGAAGTTTCCTCATTATACTCGACTCATACAGTAAGTGGCCAGAAGTATTTCTCATGGATAACACCACCACCAATGCCACCATATCGAAACTGCGCCAAGCCTTTAGCAGATTCGGCTGTCCTGAGACAATGGTCACTGACGAAGGCTCAAAGTTTACTTCAGCAGCGTTTAAGGAGTTTTGCAAGCAATGCGCCGTCCAGCACGTTCGCTCGCCGCCGTTTCACCCACAGTCGAATGGCCAGGCAGAAAGATTTGTCGATACATTCAAGCGAGCTCTGCACAAATCAAAAGGGGAGGGACGTATAGAGGAGGTGGTTGACCGGTTCCTTTTCCTCTACCGATCAACACGTAATCCACAAGCGCCAGACGGGGTCTCTCCAGCACAGGCCATGATCAACCGGAAGCTCCGCATGCCTTTCGACGCCATCCGACCGGGCTCGGAGTCCTCTGTTGGTGAAAGAAACCGCAGAATTGAACAGGAGTTTAACCGGTGGCGTGGAGGAAAGAAGCGATCTTTCACGCTTGGACAAAAGGTGCTAGTACGTGACTACCGGGAAGACCATGCGAAATGGACGCCACGGACGGTCAAAAGCAAGCGCGAAAACGTCATGTATGACGTGAAGGTGGGAACACAGGTCTGGCCGCGGCATGCAAACCAGTTACGGCCCACATTGTGCCAGCCAGAACAAGAAAGGCCTACTGACCTCCCGTTCGAATTACTGTTGGAAACTTTCAACCTGCCGAAGGTAACAGTGAACGACTGCACAAGGTCGAGCAACGAATCCAGAACAAGAACATCGGAACAAAGTTCTCGGACGCTTCTGCCAAGGAGGTGGACCGACAGGCAGAGAACACCGTCCCGACGACTGCAAGTTAATCCCAGGCTTTCCTCTTACACCTCGGAACATATCTCAGGAGGGGAGGTGTCCCGGAGAAAGTAAGAATTGCCTTGGAAATTCCATATTTTAGCGATTAATCGATTATTAGCGAATATCGCATCGATTTCGAACGTTCCTGAATGTTCTTCTTCTACACGTGATCAAAATCCACCTGACCTCTCCGCAAAAGATATGGGGAACCACTAACCCTGGCAGCTGACCTTCCAATTCTAGAAGTCGAAGGTCAGTAGAGACCTATAAATACAGCCAAGGTCCGCAGTTGTTGTACAGTGTTCGTTGGCTGCGATTAATACGTTATTTGTCAGGGTCATTGGCGTTTTGCATTTTTCCTTCGGTTGGGCTGACAGTTTTGTGGAGCAGTCAATTGTTATTTTTGGAGTTGCGTCTAGTGCGAAGATTATAACACCAATAGCATGCAAGTATTTGACTTCCATCTATGCGGATAGTGACTACTAATTTAGCGCTAAGTTACATATTCGCAGCAATGAGGACAACGTGCCATTTAGAAATAATAAAATTACACGTAGTTCAGTTTAAACTCGTAAGACAATACCCTTTAAAATGCAAGCTTAGGCGATAATAATCAGAAGTCCTAATGTTTTAAAGAATTATGGTTTAAATGAGCTTGGCACTAGTTGTGAAGCTTACTGACAACTTGAGCTAGTTAAACAACACATTTCTCTCCAACAACGTATGCCAGCTGCTATTAACCTTGCTTTATTACAGGTAAGTGCGATTTCAAACGGCAAGGTGGTCATTAAAGTGTACTGTAGGCTCAGGCGCTAGTTTGTCGGCTGATTTGCGCATGACTGAGGTAATAGATTTCATAGAATCTGCTACACCAAAGGAATTCGGAAAGTAAAGTTGCAAAAGCATGCCACCCAAATCGTCCGACTTGGCTAGCTCCAAGCAACCGTGCTCGACTTGGCGAAGACAAGCACACAATCAACGGAAACAAATTTGCAAAATATGAATAAATAAGTAAATAAATACTTTATTCTCGACTATGCGAGGCACGCCTATGGAGGCATGATAAGATATATACAACTGTACAAACATTTTATGGCAACTGTGACAGTAATAGTAGAAAATTGGTTGTGTGTTAATGGTAAAATAAATAAATAGATAGTTTATTCTCAGTTTCATAGAGACGCACCAACTGAGGCATGATCAAGGTTTAAAACTGTTGTGTATCACGACGATACTCCGGGTTCATCCGTGTATAGTTGAAACGGTGTCAAGAAGAGTAGATATGTGAAACTAGTCGACTTGCCAGTATGTAGTTGTGGGCTGTGACTTTATTTAGTGGCGAGCCACATCCGCCACATCGCAGTGTTGTTAAACAGACATTTGTGGCTTTTTATAGGGAGAACGCTTGCCAGGCGAAAACCCACCACGTCCTGCAACACTGCCGTAAAGCACTTTGAACATTAAGGTTGAACTGGCAAAGCCGCTTGACGACTGGTTTCACCTTCGGTTTTTCGCGGGGTAATGGCTTCTAATTTCCTCTGTTAGTTGGACGGGTATTTTGCTCTGGGTCGCCATGATTTTTGAGGTCGCTGGAGGAGAGGGACATCGCGATTTTTCTTCTTGTTGTATGTCCAGGTGAGCAAAAGTTTCAATTTTTCCGCTGTCCAGATTTTTCAGATGTATAATGTATGGGAGTATGAGGATATGTCCAGTTCTCCATACTGGACAAGGGTTATGGTGATTGTAGGTTGGTCCTTGCGGAGTTTTACCATCCTCCATGTCAGTCCTTGTGGGTTGTTCCGTCCGTCTTGGGCCAAAATTGTTCCTCCGTCCAATCCCAGATCTCCAAGATGTCCCGGACCTCAGAGAAAAGGGAAAGTGGGAGACAACCGAGAGAAGACCGCAAGAACAGGCATGGAATTGAATATTGTTAATGTCTTGTGTTATAACATTTGCGCTTGAGACAAAAGCATGTACACTGTGCAACAATAATTATGCTGAAAATGTCTTTTGAGTATCCTATAGAATCATTAGCCGTATAGGTGGATTGCTATCGCCTGCGTAGGGACAAGAGCGTTGCACCAGTAAGTAAAGTACGAGTATCCGTTTGATATGAGTCGATAGTTGCGTGGGGATGGAGCAAAGAGAGTTAGAATGTTGGTAGTGATTGTCAGGTGCATGAACAGCACGTAGTTAGTGTTATCCGAGAGGTTGCTGCGAGAGAGTCTTGAAGCTCAATTGGTGGCAGGGCAGCGGAGGGACTGGATGCAGATATTCTAGAGGAGTAATGGTTATTCAGATACGGGGTGGCTACTAACAAGCACTGGATCATCGTATATGCATGGGGCCAATGGCATATTCTGTCAAGAGGCACCCTTGCAAATGGCTTATCACCGGTCAAAGCAGGATCGTCGGCCATGTTTCAAGATGCTGAGCGCTTACGCCTGGTATGCCTTCAGCCAACAAAAGTCACAAGGTCCGTTTAACAAGGCCGCGACCTGGTGGATGTTATGCGTCACTTACCAGCCTCTGCCTTTATTACCCACTAGAAATTGACCTCTAGAAGAGTACACAAATGCTATGCATTTACCTGCTCTCATACGCTTGCACGTACACCTCCGTTCAATGAATGTCATTATACTTTAAATTATATTCCAACTTGGTCATCATGCTCACTCAATGATCCGTACTGTGAACACAACAGCAACGAGCCAGTTGCTCACCAAGCCATAATACGCCCCAGTGTATTTTGTAACTGTTAGCTTTACAGCACCATCACTGCGACCCAGGTTGCATGGACTTTTTTATTAGGCCTACCGAGACGAATCTCAATAAGCTCGTAGATAAAATCCCTTCACTATTTGGGCCATTTTAAATCACCTAACTGACTAAGCTGTAATATTCCTGCTTTGGGATCTGGTTAGTTTGCTGTCATGTACAAACTGCATTAGTCTGCTCATGCCCAAAAGCTGTGCATCACATTGTTCTGAATAAGTATTTATTCATTTATAAATTTCCACAACACTAACTCGCACTTGGTCGGCGGCATCCGGTTCCGCATTCGCTTACCATTGCTACCTTCAGATGATGCTAGCCACATAAAGTCTAGGCCTACAGCGTGACTACGGTTGTCTTCCGCTGCACGGCCCACGGCTCCACCCACATATCACATCGCTCCTAAGGAACATAAGTATGCCCTGGTACAGCCATTATTTCAGGGATTTATAGAGGTCATCGCGTATCACGTCGATTCAAAAGCTGCTGGTCTTTAAATTCTGCTTGCTGTCTTCCCACGCAATAGTTGCATCATAGCAAACATATACTGTTTTTGCTTAATGGCGCGACGCGCTTTATTCCATGTAGCTTGTAGCAACCAACCTATACGGCTATTGTTTTCGTAGAACTTACAAAAGACACTCTCAGCACAGTCGTTGTTGCACATGGTACCGCAGTTGTCTCCACTAAATGTTATAACATAAGATTTTAACAATGTTTGTTTCCACTCCTGTTCTTGCAGCCTTGGTTGTCTCTTACCATCATTTTCTCCGAGGTCCGGAAATTCTTGTGGATCTGGGATCGGGACGAGTAACAGATTTTGTCCTGGACAAGACATAGTAACCCACAAGGACCTACGAAGAATCTGGCTGTACAACAAATGGATACAACAGCAGGCGCTACCGCGACCGTCATCCGGTAATGATAGCTGGACACGAAGCCTGCACACTCCTGAAAAGTATACATAAACCTGAAAAAGCCAGACGCAAGAAACTGACCTTACGCTCACCTGGACACACAAAGACGATTCTTAGTGAAGCTGCACCCCTCCATTGGCCTCAGCCATTATTGCGGTCCTGATCAAAGATACCTGTGCAACTAACAGCGGAAATTAGAAATCAATTGACTTCCGATAACCGAGGGTGAAATCCTTCGGCAAGCTGCCCTGCCAGTTGTACATTAGTGTTCAAACGGTTTTCGGACAGTGTTCCAGGACGTGGTGAGTTTTTGCCTGGCGAGCTTTCTCCATATAAAAAGCCACAAATGTCCTTTTAACAACACTGTGATGAGGCGGATGTGCTTTACCACTGAATAAAGGTGCTGCCCACAACTACATACTGGCAAGTCGACTAGAATCATAATTATTATTTTCCTGATAGGTTCAAGAATAAGACTCTCCCTGCCCACATGTAGCTTTTTTACTACACTTATGGTACCCTGACTGTTTACACAACGCACGCTAGAACCCAACGTATCGTCATTCATTGACGACTTTTTTTCTCATGATTACTTTTACAATTTCCACATCCTGTACAACTTTCGGTTTACTGCCGATTACATACATAGCAGCGTGTTTGTTGCGAAACCTAAAAGCACGCAATCGTTGATCCTGCCTGGCTTGGTGTGTCTCGACAAATTCGAAAATAAATTATTTATCTAGTTATAACGTTCATTCATATTCCATTGCCTGCCTGATGATGGACCAAAACTATGGAAAAAAGCTAAATTTTGTAATTGAACTTCCTACTCCAGAAGGCGTTGGTCAGTACGCGACCACCGCCTTTATACAGCGGTTTGTTGACGTTACTTGTCGAGGTCATTAGCGCTCTGCTCTTTCCTTCGGTTGTGCTGGAAATTTTGTGGAGCCGTAAAAAGCCTATTTCCGTATCGCATCTGGTGAGAACATAAAAAATAAATTGCAACAGCGAAAAATGGAAATGTGTGGAGCCGTTCTGCCGAACTAATTTGAATGCTGCATTTTCAACAGCAATCGCAAACGGAGGCAGAAATGAAACCGATCCAAATGTTGTAACACTGCTTAAGTTTGCAGTTAATAGGAGCAGGGACGCGGGAATAGTAAGAGAGCTCTGTTGATCTCCTCAGGAACGTTCGCCGAACAACCTTTACGTGGTTTCATATGGGTGGCCCAGGTTAATTCTCTTAACGCGAATATTTCTGCTGCAGTATCCAAGGACGTGGTTGCTTATCGCCTTGCGATTGTTCTCCCTATAATAACCCATAAATATCTGTTTAACAACACTGTGGCTTGACGGATAGAAATGGTCACTAAATAAAGGCACACCTTCATGCTTTTCTGGAGAGTATTATCACACCAACAAACATCAGCCAATCTGGATATTATGTTATCCCTACCGCTGATAGCGGATTATTAGGACACAACCACAAATTCAGTACAACGGCAACAGATGCACTCAACATAACTACTAACCCATGCATTTACATATGTGCACAAAACATACCTCCAGTATGTACTTGTTAAGTAGTAACACTTACGCCCACTACTGATTATACGCTCTGTATTACTATGCTCCTGCCTATGTAGGCGTGTCCCGCTCTTTTGGAAATAAAACCTTCGTTATTTTTTAGTTAGATTCCATTCAAATTTGTGTAAGAGTCGGGAACATACTACTTTTCATAGCGGCCGAGTTGGAAGCTTCTTGATCTCCACTGGAATGAACAATTGCTAATACTTGAGGTTTCTTTGTATCAAATCGGCAATCGATTCCGTGCAAGCCCGCAGCCATTCTTCAAGTCCGTCTAAGCCATAACGCGTTGGCTGTGGCGAAAATTTGCCTATCTTTTAGGTTGGCTTGAGCCATTGTACGGAATCCAAACGAACGCTGAGCCGGCGATAAGGAGCCTAACCATTCTTCAAGACTATAAAACCGCTACCATACGCGGCTTCATCAGCCGTTAACCAAGCAGGCGGTCGTCTGGAACGAACCGGAATCATCAAGCCGTCAAGTACTCATCACGGATCGAGCCTATTTTTGCAGTGAAGAAGGCAAAGCTTGGGTACGCGTCTGCGCTGACTTCTCAACTGGACATAACGCCTCGCTGGACAACCATTAATGCCCAATACCCGTACCGGAGGACATCTTGGCATAGCTGAAAGGTGGTAAGTGTTTGCTAAGCTTCATGGGTCCGATGCCCGCCTTCAGGTGGATGTCGGAGAAGACTCAAGGGAGTTGCTGACAATCAACATTCGTCATGCATTATTCCAATACAAGCGCTTGCTCGTTGGTGGGAAAACGACACCAGCCATTTTCCAACCGTTGCTGAATAGCAGTTAGCGGGCGTTTCTGAATCCGCGGCATATCTGGCTGATATCGTAGTGATCAGTCGAACACAGGAAGAGCTATTTAACCGCCTGGATGGAGTGCTTGCTTGTCAGCCTTTCAACCCTTTAGCCATGCACTATCTAATACCCATACCTATCATTGAACGTTGTGAACACGGCTATCGCCCTTTGTACCAAGTGGTCTAGAGAACCTCCTTCGTGTGCTGTAATTGTAGTCTGAGCCACATGGAAACGTGAATTTAGAATGATCCTGTAAATCATATATACTGAGCAAACTTACATAGTGCAAGGAACTAGATGCCACGGCATGCAATCCCCCATTTGCTAGTGAATAGCAATGCATTCCATTCTGTGTGTTTTCTTGGTTGCCTGTTATTTATTTCTTGTTATTCCTGAGATTTCCACAGATACGTCGGCCAGCGCATGACGCTACATCAGCTGGCGATGCCTGATCTGTTCTCAAAAGCCAGTTGATTTGAAGCCATTGATGTCTTCGCCGGGACCACAACGGCAAAACATCATTCCGATGATTCAAATTATCTTCCAAATGGATAATCCTTTTGGCAATGTGGAGAGATGCTGCACGCACGGGGTCTAAACCAATGGGTTTACCTCTCTTTGCGGCCACACTGCCACAACATACGCACTGGGATTGGCTTTACATTGATCTCTTGTTGCAATATGGAAACAGGTTCTTCTGTCAAAATTGCTGTACTAAAATTGGACAGCATTGATGTCTTTCGCTACTTTTCGAGCATTTGGGTACGGCGCCATATATTTCTGTAAGAACATTTTACTACTTCTCTTACCTGGAGCTTTTCCGATGGCACATAATGGAACTATTACTGGATATGAAGAC